TGTGTGTGTCTGTCTGTCTCTGGTGAGCACATGTACATATAGAGTGAGAGACAGAGAGAGGCTGTGTGTGTGTGTGTGTGTCTGTCTGTCTGTCTCTGGTGAGGACATGTACATATAGAGTGAGAGACAGAGAGAGACCAAAGGTCGCAAAAACCAAACAGGGCGATAGAGCCGGTGGCGGCGGAGCGGGCAGCGGGTGAAGCTCCGGGATGCCACATCCCGGCTGGGCGCACATGCTGGGCACATGGGAGCATGCCCGTGATCCTAGCTGGCCGGAAGTCGGGCGGGGGTCACGGTGTGGTGAGACCCTGTCAAGGTACCTGTCTTTCTCTCCCCGCCCCTGTCTGTCTCTCACAGGAAGGAAATACATACACTTTAAAAACTAAAATACAGCGGTGGGCACGCGTGCCCTCTCCTCGAGAGGTCGTCTGCGAAACCTGCTGTGCTCCAGGGTCCCAGACCAACAAAGGGGTCACGAGCTAGTGACCCGGAAGCTGAACCCCGTCTGATACGGGTATAGGAAAGCCCAGCTGTTCCCAAGGAAGAAGCACATAAACTGGGCCCAGGGTTTTGGTGCAGCAGCGACACAAGGAAAACCAATTCCATTCTAAGAATCTGGTGCTGAGATTGGGCCCTGGCCACCTCACCTCTCATCTACTTGGCCAATTAACACATAATAAAAATAAATGAAATGAAATGGATAATTCTTTGGGGGAAAAAAGCCCTCTTTTTTTTTTTTTTTTTGATAAGTTGTGCTTTAGGGCAAGTGTGCTTGCCAGAGAGAGACCGAGACAGTGAGAGTGGAAGTAAGAAATCAGCCCCCGGGGGGATGGCCACACCTCAATCCTTTCTCCTCCACTTTCCTTCCAGATTCTTGGGCATGCACACATACACGCCTGGTGTGAGTGGCAAGCCTCTGGGTTTGGGACTGGAACCACGGTTGGCCATGGGAGTCCAGTGATGTAACTGCTACACCATCTGCTGGGCCCATCCCTTTTCTTCGTCTTTTTTTTAAAAGAATTATTTCATTTAACTTTATTTATTTATTTATTTATTTATTTTAATTTGACCAGAGAGGGACAGAGTGAAAGAGAAAGAGAGAGAAATGAGAAAGGAAGCCACCAGGTCTGGGACTCGAACCATGGTTGTCCATGTGGGAGTCTAGTGTCCTTAACCACCACGCCACCTGCCAGCCCCTCCCATCCCTTTTCTTCTTTAAAAAAAGGTATATATATAAAATACATTGGGTTTTCAGGGAAGTCATGACACATTTTTGTACAGAAAACAGAGAAATACATCACAACTTTCCCAACAGCGCGATGTTTGGTTTCATAAAAGTATGATTCATGTGAGCAAACAATAAGTTCTTTCTTCATTAATTAAGTATTTTTAGAATTTCCACAAAATAGGGAACTAGAGTAACCCGTCCACTTTGGAAGGGCCCTGGGTGCTTAGATAGCGATGCAGTAAGCAGGGCACAGGACACGCGTGCTCTGTTCTCATGGCGCGTGCAGAGGCGCAGTGGGGTGGGAGGGCATCGCCTGTCGGTGCCACGTGCCCCCTACCCACAAGAGAGTCAGTGACCCAAGGACCTACGACAACAACTTCGTGCCGCCGCTGCTCTGACCTGTACGAGTACTCGCCCTCCATCCTGGTGGTCCCCTCTGCAGCTCTGCGGTGTGGCACTCGCCACGTACAGCCGGGGCCACGTGGCTGAGAGAGGGACCACGGCGTCTCTGGATCCTGGCACAGGGTCTGACTGCCTGTGACCTTGAGGCCTGCCCCAGGGCCAGGACAGAGGTGCTGTGTGCAGCGGGAGGAAGGCAGGGTGAAGCCAGAGGAGAGCAGGAGGCCTGTGAGTGGCGGGACTGGGAGCCCTCGGGCGTGTGGGGTCTTGGGACCTTCAAAGACAGTGGCCTCACATAGGCTGAGCACTGGAAGCATCCGGGGAGCTCTAGAAAATTCCAATGCCAGGCCAGCCCCAAAACTGCTCGAGGTGGCCTGTGAGGAAGCAGCGTGCTGCAAAGGCACGCACCTTGAACCCGAGAGGTGGAGAGGCAGGCCCAGCCAGGCCCGTGCCCTGCTTCCCCCGAGGGACTCGCTGCTCAGGGCTGGCTCGTGCGGCGGCAGGAGGGGCCAGCTAGCTGATGCCCAGGCATCCCAAACCCAGGGGATACAGGGACCAGACAGGAACTATCGGGAGGAAGCAGCTGGCTAGGGATGTGGACCAAAGACGTGACCTGTCCAGAGGCGGCGGCGCTCACTCTGGCCTGGATGACAGCTGCCTCCGGGAAGGCCGGCCGCCACGGCTTTCTGTGAAACCTTCCAGTTTCTAGCATCAGCAGGATGCTCAGAACATTTCAATCCTCTGCAGACTTAAACGGAACACAGAGGACAGCCAAACGCGACCATCTGCGACTCCTGGCCTTGGCTGCAGTCAGTGATGTAAGGAGGGGTCTGGAGAAGGAATCCTGCAGAACGTGGGGTCCTGCTGGCGGGGCTCACGAGACGAGGCGGGAGGGCTGGGGGCGCACAGGAGTCCACTGCCAGCCCAGTTACGTCTATACCCGCGTTGCCAGGAGAGGTGCTGCACTTCCGCTCTCAGCCAGGAGGGCCCCACGGGCTCCTGGCAGCCCCCGATGTTGCCAGCAACGCGGTGTGTGGGCAGGTCTCTGAGAAGGAAGGGGCGCAGCTCTCCACGCAGTCTCCAAACGATCTGCGTGTCATACAGTCAAGAATCCTGCCTCTGCGCGCCAACCTGTGGCATGGTGCTTAAGGCAACTGGATCCCACATGGCCGACTCTGAGGTTCGAGTTCCAGATCCAGCAGCTTGAAAAACACTCCAGATGTGTGTGTGTGTGTGTGTGTGTGTGTGTGTGTGTGCCTAAAGTTCCAGAGAAAAATGGAAGAGGAAGGACTGTGGTATGGCCATCCCTTCTAGGGCAAATTTCTCACTTTTCTTCTCTCTCTCTCTGGCAAGCATACACACCCTATAGCAAAAACTTAAAAAACAAACAAACAAAAAACTTGTCTTTGAACATAATGCTAACTAGAAGGAACAGTTCCCATCAAGGACAAAAACTAACGGGACCAACAGACAGCATAAAGGTTACATTGCTGGACTCCCACGCAGTCGACCATGGTTCGAGTCCCAGATCCAGCGGCTTAAACCTCACACTGGGCGTCTGTGCATGCCCAAGATCCCAAGAAGAGAATGGAGAAGGAACGGCAGCACGGCCATTCTTCTTGGGCGGTGATTTTTTAACTTTCCTTCTCTCTTTCTCTCTGGAGAGCACCCACACCCCATAGGAACAATCTCTCTTAAAAAGAAAAACAAAAACAAGTGCCCTTTCTCATGGCCCTGAGTGCTCTGGGTAGACCGGGTCCTCAGGCCACTCCTGGGGGAATGCCCATCCTCCACCAGCTCAGGCCAGCTCTTCCTGATCATGGGTCGGACCCATCCCTACTCCCCTCGCCTGGTTTACGGTGCACCCAGCAAACCCCCGAGGCTCCCCAGGCTTCCCTCCTGCGTGGCACTGACCACTCAGCTCACTCGGGTGGGGTCTGGGGCCCTCACAGGTGGGAGCTTCCCAGGGGCACAACCACGTCTGGCGCAGCCTGGCTTCCCAGGGCTGGGCACAGAGTGGGGCTGAGGAAACGCCTGGCACATGATGAGCCCGGAAGAGCAGCGACACTGACTGTTGTCAGAACAGCAGGGGTACGGAGACCGTCATTACAGTGACACCGACAGCAGGGGGCACCGCAACGGCGAGCCTGTGGGCCTCTGCTCTGAGATGGTGCCTCTCCCTGTCGCAGTCCTCCAGGTCGGGGCTACGGTCATGTGTCACCACACCCAGCTCTTTCTAGGCAAGGGCTCACCGTGCTTGTTGCCCGGGCCAGGCTTGAG